TGTTATGAGTGATGTGCTCTTGTCACATATCATCTTTACATTGTAATCACTAGTTTTTAAGATATCGATTTCATTGAAGGTGTTTGATAAATAAACTGTATCATGATACATTTAAACGCTGTTTAGTTTGTATCGTTTGTAGAACAAAATCTTACAAACAGTGCCATTATCACTTACTTATTCGTTAGTTTCCATGACATTCATACTAACTTCAAGTTATTACTTAATTGAACAAAAGGATTCTGTCAACAAAATGCTCGTTTTTTTCTTAACTTTAAACATTCAGTATTAAATGAACCATCTGAGTATATAGATTGAATATTGACCCATGATCTCAACTATTGAAATAACTACGATCTCCACAAAACCCCTTCTGATACTAATCAACATATGCTCACCAGTGACTGGCTTCAAGAGGTATATTCTGGAGTCCTAGTGAGGAGCAGTGACCAGTGGGGTTCAACCAGGTCTGTTGTGAGATAGTAACTCACCGAACACAATGGCAGATGTGTCGTTCAATTTCGTGTCTTAGTTGAAGTTAGACATTAACACCGTAGGATACCGGGCGGCTCAGTGATCTGGATGTTAGGCTTTCGAGCGGGACGGGATCCTGGACGAGCACTGCTGAGGAGCCCCACAATAGGACGAAACGGCCGTTCAGTGCTCCCAGGATTTCCATGGTGGTGACGATAATCGTAAACTACGAAAGAACATGTCTACTAAAAATAGTGATAATGCATATGATGAATTATAAGTCATTGAATCTCACATATGAAGCATATGATGTTTTACAGATTTGAATGTTTAGTATTTGAATGAATTTAGTAAACTAGATTCACACAATTTTGTTGTTTATCACAAAATATAATTAATAATCGTAGTTTATCATACTTTAATATCAATTTAATTATTACTGATTATGTAGCTCTAATTGACATAACATTCAATCCTCATATATAAATGCAAAGCATTTGTTTGATATTTAATAATAATATGACAATAATATGGCTAGCTTAATATCGGACTCAATTTTATTTATCTGATTACTGTAATCGGAAGTGTCAACTAGGGCTTGATGTTAACATATCTTTAAAAAAACTTGTACCTAAGATATCATAAATCAATTTGTATATGATGTAAATACTTTTGAAGGTAGATTGTTATCATTCAAGTCAAACAAAAGATGATAACTCCACTCAAGTACATGTATACGAAGCATTTATCACCCTTGCTTATTACAACTTTTACGATATCTCTTTAACATAATTTACATCATATGTTGTATCTATATATATAACATAATTGCCAAAAATAAGTCATTATTGGACGTTTGTTACGTTAACTATGCTTTTGCCTTATCAATATGGTTTACAGATTCCAATATTGATTGAGGTGCCATAAACCTACTCTTTTTTTCTGTTACTATTGCGTAGTTTATTTTACAATCACTCAAAGTATTTAATTCAATGTGCATGATAACGTGAATGCCTTGAGCGGATCCTCAGCCTGTAATTTATTAAGAATACTCAATATTTAAAGAAGTCATCCTATATCATTAGCACTGCTGAGGAGTCCCATACTAGAACGAAACGGCCGTCCAGTGCTTCCAGGTTTTCAAAGGTGGTCTAGCTTCAACTGACTCATGATTTCAATCTGTGAAAATAAAAGAATAATCATCACTTTTCCAGTGGGCTGTGAAATAAATTTAAAGAAATGTCGATTCTTTGAAACTAAATAATCGTGTTCCATTCATTTTCTTGAAAAATATTTATACAATTGCGGAAATAGCCATTAATCATAATCTATGAAGAAAATAAGGGAAACAGTAATGTATCCATTACTTATTGACAAGTAGTATATTAAAAATAGAAATTTACAGTTTGATTGTTTTATTTTCTTTCCAAAAGTCATGGTACTGATGATTACTAGTTTTAACTATTCTAAATCAATCATATTGTCAGTTACTGTATCGCGTTTAATTGACGTTTGTTTTTATTTTTGTTGTTATTATTATTACGGGTAACATCGGACAAACTAACTTTGATTTATATTATTGTTTTGTATCTCCATGAATCACATGAGAGATGGATTGAAAACATTTTAGTCTAATAAAGTATAATACACATATTTTTTCTACATTGTTAGGTAAACTATAATACTAAAATATATTGTAAGTAATTTGTACACACTGATCATTGAAAAATGTACAATGACTAATCAGGTTATGGATAATTATATTAGCTAAACTAAAGAAAATATCAGTCTGTAAGAAACTATTCACATATTTGTTCATTATTCTCATGAACAATCATAAACTTGTAGAAAAAATGTTTTTGTTTTGCATTATGTATATTTAAAAAGGTTGATTATTATGGAAAACACAGTTAACATTTGTGTATATGAGAATTAAGTATTATTATGAAAACGAATGGTGTTTTTATTGTAATAAAATTATACATATATGACTCATTGTGTTATTGCGTTGGATACACTTTTGTTAGGCAATTTCATATGTTTATTAAAGTGATTGTACTGATGGTTTAATGGCTATTTATTATTAGAATGGGGATTTCTGAAAGTTATAGTAAATTTTAATAGTTGAATTCTTGAGTCGATTTAAGCTGAACCACCATTAAAAACATGAAAGCACTAGATGGCCGTTTGGGACTCCTAAGTAGTACACACCCACGATCCCGCAAGCGAGATTCGAAACCAGGACCTTCAGTCTCGAGTGCGAACGCCTAACCCCTAGACCTCTGAACCGGTATCCGAAGATTTTAATGTCTAACTTCAATCAATCCATGATCTTCCGCAACCCATCATCCACTGTCTGAGGTAGATACCAGTCTCTACCAGATCCGTCATCAGTAGAGTTCATTCCGCGTTGGGTGCGAGACCGTTATCTACTGAAAACTATGCTAGTATTTTTTTAAAGCCAGTATAACAAAGAAACGAAATAATTTACTGTTTCAATGACTTACTCAATGTTTGATGACTGAAGAGCTTTCTTCTTACAAGAGGTCCCAAAAAAAATGTCAACAACATCCTTCAATTCTCCGCCACCCAAAACTTTGCCATAGTAAGCACATATAAAAACATCAGGTTTGATTACCATTTTTTTATCTGTACCATCTTTACTACAATTGTAGTAGGTAAAATAATAAGTATCTTTTTAATATATTGCGCCCAGTTAGTTATTTGTCAGAAGTAGTAACATATGGTGTGATATCATAATCAGCTATTAATCATCTCGTTGCGTCATGTTACAAAAGGAAATCAGTGACATACAATGAAATATAGTTGCCATAAAATATCATACTAAAGAATTTTGAACAGGTACTCTATAGAGCATTAAGATAGTGAAACATATAAATATTTTACTCCAATTTCAATAGTGAAGATTTTGTTTATGCTGAAAGTGTACCACTTAATCTAAGTATTTTAATGTCCAATTTTACATTGATACACCACAAAACCGAAACAATTTTATTTACTATTAATGAAGATTATAAATTCCATTTGTATGGCTGGATTTGTCTGTCCAAGAAAAAAAACGCAGAAATATCTTACTGGAAGCACTTTAAAGAAAATACAAAAAAAAACATTTGTAGTGTATTTTTATCAAGCCATTCATCTTTGTTAAATATTTATTGCTAGCCAACATTTAATTTCAGTGAACTTGGTTTTTACTTAGACTAAACCATTATTTTCTTAACAACAAAAAAAATACTCTGGTAAAATTTTTTTAGGACAAATCAGTTACAAACTTTATGCAATATTTTTGATAGGTCTTAATTATACGGTAATTCATTTTAAACCAACAAAGATATACAATGACTTCATTTTTATCAGAATGGGTTTTGTGGAGATTTTTAGAAATTTCACTGGTTGAAGTCGTGAGTCAATTGATGCTAGACCACCATGGAAAACCTGGAAGCACTGGACGGCCGTTTCGTCATAGTGAGAAGCCGTTACCAGTGGAGTTCACCCAGGTCTGTTGTGAGATAAGAACTCACTGAAGACAACGGTATACGGTGGTGCAACTTCGTGGATTGGTTGAAGTTGGACATTAACACCGTTGGATGCCGGCTTAGTGGTCTAGTTGGTTAAGAGCTTGGCGCAAGACTGATAGGTCCAGGGTTGGAATCCTGCGGGGTGCGGGATCGTGGGTGCGCACTGCTGAGGAGTCCCATACTAGGTTTTCCATGGTGGTCTAGCTTCAATTGACTCATTATTTCAACCAGCGAGACTTCATTTTTATTGGTAAATAATTTCGACTGACCTGAAATAGTACAAGTAATCAAATGCTCATAGTGTTGTTAGTAAATTCTGTGAAAAAAGATACTGCCAACCATTGATTTGTATAGTTTATGAGAAAATTACAAGAGTCTTATTAATCTTAATTAGATTTAAGATTTTCAATAGGAATATGTACTAAGATATTTTGAGTATTTGTTATTAACATAAAAGAATAAACGTAAAACAATTTCTTGATATTTCGTCTTGTGATATGTGACAAAGAATGAAGAAACAACATTAAAACAATAAAATACTAGTTCCTTTAAAAAAAAACAATAAAATTGTCCGGAAAACCTTGAAGAAAAATTTATTCAGAATGTATTTGATCCAAATTTTAACGATCAAAAGTTTGACCTTTGGAATTAATCTAAAAAGTCACGCCATTAATATTGTTACCTTTTAAGATGATGTAATATATTTTTTGCAGTTTAATTTTGAATGTTATTAGAATGCTAACACAAATCACTTTTATAATTGGAATATAAAATAGAATTATGATGTGTATATCAAATAAGTCACCTGGAAACCATTTGGAACAATGTTTTTAGTTGAGATTTAAAAGAAGGTTAGTAGCCGAGGTCACATAACTGTAATATAACAGTAGAGAAAGTCAATCGCTGATCTGCACTAGAAAAGAATAAATAAAGTTTCATTGTTCTGTTTAAATGATTGTACTTTCTTTTCTTCATCTCGTTATTAAGGTTCTAGTGAATTTGGACAGTTTGTGAAATCGGATTATAATGAAATAAATTCATATCCTGGTTCTTTACTTCTACAAAGAGCATCTACGAGCATAACACTTAAACAAAACGAATCAGATCCACGACGACCAGATGAATATTTACTGGAAGGTGACAACAATCTCAGCATCATAAATAACAATAATAATCAAAGCAACAAAGAAATTGAAAGTAACATATCACGCTTCAATGAGTATAAGTCGGTTAAAAGTAATGTGTTAATTTCTAGTAACATGAAATTATCTCCTCAAAAACCTGTAGCAGAACAACAAATTGTAAATGTAAATGAAGCAGAACTAGCTTATGGTATGTGAATTTTCTTTATGTCCTGCTCCTAATTTTCTTTAAAAGTTTATTTCATTTCTTTGTGTATACTTCAAACTCATTCGTGCATATTTCCGTACCACCATTACAACTATTACTGGGAGGTAATAACAGTGAAATCATAAACAAATATGACTGATATAACAGTCATTATAGTCACAGTTTGAGTTATATTAATGCTAACACAATCGATATAAAAGAAAGAAAGAAACACAAATGATTTTGAATATTCGTGTGTCTAACAATGTATACAAATCAGGTCTGTGACAAGATATTAAACACAAAAGCAATTAGCAAAACAACATGACAATCGTTTTAGTTAAAATATAAACTGACTTATTTTTGAAGTGAATGATCGTGAAGTATATAGTTAGTAAGATTGTTACTTATTAAACCACTGGTTGCTCGTTGTCAGTAGTGTACACAATGATCACCTGATAGGCACACTAGATCGATACTACGTGGTTCTTAAGCGGTAGAATTTTCATATCAAAAAGACTGTCACTGTTCCAGCATTTCAGGATCAAAAACTGTATCGAATCAATTTGAGAAAACATTTTTTGACTCCAATCAACTATCATAGTATTCAGGCTTTATCGAAAGAACTTGTCAAAACTGAAGTGTGCAAGTTAATGCGACTCAAAATCAAGTTATTTCAGCATTAAATATAACTAAGAACGTGCTTTTGCATTGTACCATCAAGTACTTCTTCATATTTTCTGATCGACTCTTTTAATATTTGTACTGATGACATGTATATGGATGTCATAGAATATTTCTAGAACAGTACTTTGGTACTTAAGAATTCAACCCGATATTTAACAAAAGGATTTAAATTTGACCTTGACCTCAATATACCTAACTAATTCCCCGTCACTTGCACCAAAGCGTCCGAACTCCTATTGCATATATTCTATTAGATCAAGTAAACAGTGAATTGCTATACATTTTTCACCTTATATATTTCTTCAGATGTAATCATTTCCCATCAGTAAACTTAGTCATGAATTGCATACTTGGGTAATGCTTGAATACCACGATACAAAATGGGAAAACAACAAAAGGCTGTCAACTAATGATAAGAACAATAAATTTTATTCTTAAGTATATGTATTTTTGAATGATGAAAAAACGATATTAGATCTCACTAGTTTATCATCTTCAGTGTCAAACAGTTACAATATGTTTCTATATTCATGTTTATTGCTTCATATTTTAGAACAACATAAGCGAATGAATCCTAGACAGAAAACCATGCGTTCTAATCAGAAAAGTCCAGGATTTCTTACTGAAGATTATCCACAAACATCCTTTACTGGTGATTATGGCTATGAAAGTGAACCGAAATCATTTACTTGTACAGATGAAGTAAAATCTCAAAAATTATTTCCAGGTTATAACCCAAAATCATTTTCATCAGGTATGTTTATTTAAAAATAGTTTCAATTTATGGTTATATGAGATGTAATAATTAAAAAAATACCACTTTGTAGGATCAGTACTGAAAACTATTTTGGAACAGTGAAATCAGACTTACTTTTTCTTCAAATTAATTTATAGTTGTCATTACAGAATAAGGAAATCAAAAGAGAACAATATGAAATACAAGATATTTGATTGTTAAAATGTTTTATGATTCTTTATTTGATTTAGTTTCATCATTAACTGAAGGGTTCACCTATTCTTACTGGAAGCAGAAAGCTCTAAATAAATATTCACTTGATGTTGTTTACTTGTATCTTCCAACTTTTATTTAGGACTGCAATTGATTAGTCTCTTTTTGGCACATGTGCATCCTGTGCGGACGGCCTCGATATTGCCTGAAGTCACAAGCTTTATAAGTCCTAAATAAAAATGGGAAGATACAATTAAACAACACCAAGTGAATATAACTTCACCCCATTACACAAGCAGGTGGCCATCAGGAATCAGTAGCTAAGTGCATAAAGTAACAGCGTTTGAAACGAACGGTACTAGGCTCGAGTCCCGGAGTGAACATTGATTCCAGGATACGGGTACATCCAGATAGTGAGTCCCAAATACAAAGAGACGAGCGTCCTGGATTCCACTGCTAGTCATTACCCATCTTTGATTTAAATGAATAGTTGTAGAGTGTAAGGTTTTTATGATAACCTTGTTTTCATTTTTCTTAATACGACAATTGTTAAAGATGGATAAGTGGATAAAATTTCATCATTGTAAATGACTCTCAATTCATATCATCTACAACATTTTCTGATGTCTTTCTTATCCATGATCTTTCAATGGTTATAGTTGTAATTTTTTTTACATCAATTCATATCAATGTACAAAGTAATAAAATAATAAACAGCATTCAATGATATCAATTTAAAATAAACCAGTGATTTCAAACATGAATCCAGTTCTTTTATTGGTCAATTCATCCACAATTGTGTATAATAACTGACACATATCATTTTTATAATGATAACCTTTAATGTGCCGGTGAGTAATAGTAACAACTTATCAAACAAATTAATAATGAGTTATGATAAACTAAGCAATATTTCTATGAACAGATCAAATTCAGTTTAATAATTATTAAAATGAGCAGAGTAATTTAGACAGAAAGAGCACGGAAAGAAAAATAAGTAGATTGAATAACATGGTTTTCACAAGATTTAGAGATCTCATTTCATTACAATGACATGTTTAAAATATAAATAGGTGTTTCCAATTTATAACAGTATCAGCTAATATTTGTATAACTGATTGAGTCATACAATTAAATATGTGAGAATTCCAATTAGATATTACACATGTCCACAGACTTTATAAACAAAGATGGATAGTGGCTAGTAGTGGAATCCAGGACGGATGTTTCATCCCCTTTTGGACTCGTGAGCCGGATGTACTTGCATCACAAAGTTGACTTTCACTCTGGGACTCGAACTAAGTACCGTTCACCTCGGACGACATTACGCGTCCTGGATTCCGCTGCTAGCCACCACCCATATTTGCTTATAATGCTTATGACTTTAGACAATGTCAAGGCAATTCGTACAGGGTGCACATATGCCAATAAGAGATTGATTAATTGAAGTCCCAAACATCACTGGCAAGATTAAAAAAACCAATACAAAATTAATATTTACAGACGAATGATTCAAATGTGAAAATCAACGAAACATTCCAATATCCTAAATGCAACAACGAAAATATTTCATGAAACCAAACTTCGTATACCTGTTTTTAGTTACTATTCAATAGAATAAATGTAACTAATTTCTATACATACTCATCCGAATCTGAACGAAGAGCTTGATATAGTTTAAGTGCATTTCTATAGACATTAGATATAAAATTATAGGCTAAATCAAATTACCAATTAAAGAACACTTGCAATTATATTCAGTTAAAGCAAAACAAAATATGATTGTTAATTGCTTCAAATATTTATATTTAATGCTGTTTATTTATTGAATTGTTCAGATGGTCTTAGATCTTTTAAAATGACAATTTGATCATTAAACTAAGTGACTCAATACTATCAACATTTAGAATAATCTACATACTGTTTAGTGTTTATCAATCTTTATTCTGATGATTGTTAGTTGTCGTTTGTTTTTTTTCTTTCATGGTAATAATTGACACATTCAACAAGTATGAACGTATATAGTTCATGTATAAGAATATGGTTATTTTATTTACTCTTATTTGCATTCTGTAGCAATAAGAAATTCCCGCGAAAAAATGAATGCATCCAATCGAATGAAAATGATGTCAATGGAAGAAACTGAAGATGATGATGCTGAAGGAGATAATAATAATAATAACTATTATATACAAGAAAATGATAATTATCAAGGACAAAATACTTATAATACAAGTTATTTACGTTGGAATAGTTCAAATCCAACAATCTCACAAAAATATGCTTATAATTTAAGTTCAGCAAGTCGAAAACCATGTTATAATGATATAATATCACAGTGTCCTACACAAACAACAAACTTAGAAGATACAGCAAAAAAGAGTAAGTTATGTATGATTTGCATATTGTATTTATAAGACAGTTTTATAATAATTTCAATTTCAAAATAAGGACACATTAGTAATCAGTTAGAAGACCAGTTTATCCATATATTTAAATTACTGACCTATTCGTTCATTTTAAAATAAATGGTAGCCAATTATATCATTCTTTTAAAGCCATCGATATCACCGAGCGACAAGTGTGGAGAGTGCGACATGAAAAATTGTGTATTTAACACAAATTAGGTATAAATAATAAATCTGAGCTACAGTTGTTCTACTGTTATTCAATACTGAAAATCAAATATTAACTGAATTATTATGAATATGGGAAAGAAAATATGAAGATCAATCTAAACAGACTAATAAATGGTAGTGTATTGTAAGGCTGAATACAGTCATCCTATGTTAATCATATTTTATTGAGATCATAAATCGATCAACGTCAGATCATTATTGAAAAGCTGGAAGCAATGGACGGTTGTTTCGTCTTAGTATTGGACTCTTTAATGATGGTAATTCATAGATCGCTCCATGATCTTAATAAAAACACTACAATTTTCACAACCATACACTGACAACTATCATGTGCTCACTAATGACTAACTTTGAGAGATAGTTCTCGGAATTCCAGTGCAGAGCCGTGATCAATGGAGTTCAACCGCATCCAGTGAAGCAGCTACCCACCGAAGACAATGGAAGATGGTCCCATAATATCGTGGGTTGGTTGAAGTTAGACAATGATACTGTTAGATGTCGTCTCAGTGGTCTGGAGGTTGAGCGTTCACACGTGATCAGAAGTCCTAAGTTTGAGTCCTGAACGCGTGATCGTGAATGCTCACTTCTTAAAAGTTGAACACTAGAACGAAACAGCCGTTCAGTGATTCTAGGTTTTCAATTGTGATCTAACATTGACCGATTCATGATCTCAATAAAATATGATCAACATGGTTGAGAGAGATTGTTAGGAAATTTTCGAAGGTTAAGATAATTCCACAATATTGTTATGCAATGAATATAATAATTATAACATTTAAGAAACGTCACGTTGAAACTTTATATGAAATTGTCTAGATCCTAATCTATTCCTGAATATAACGTTTACATTAAATAGGAAAGAGAAATGAGTCATCACATATTATCTAACTTTATAGTTATTTCAATTAATTAAACTCAAAAAGCCAATCATGTAATAATGAATGTCCATAAAAGAACAGAAAAGTAGTCTGCTAAAGTAGCGGACAGCAATCATGCTTCTGTGTTTTTATGTGTGAAATAATTTTTCTTATTATTACGGTGGTAATTAGAGATTAATTATAGGCTGTTTACTTATTGTTAAGATTTATATCTGAGTAACAGTAAATACATAGAAACCTCTGAAATTGATGAAGTGGATTGGTTGAATTCAGGCATTAACACTGTTGGATGCCGACTCAGCAGTCTAAAGGTTAAGAGCCAGCGCTCAAGACCGAAAATCCTGGTTTCGAATCCCGTGCACTGCTGAGGAGTACCATACTAAGACGAAACGGCAGTCCAGTGCTTCCTGGTTTTCCATGGTGGTCTAGCTTTAACTGACTAATGAATTTAATTATTAATATAGAATTATGAGAATAATTTACAGAGGATAAGGAGACTTAAAATATATTGAATTCATTTCATTAATCAAACGTTTCTATTCTCGCCTTATTTGAACCTATAGTTTACGTTATTCGAAGTAAATCATCAAATAAATAAGATAGGGGAATGACAATTAAAAAATGTTCAAATATATTATCAAAAATGTTAACGATTACCATATTCTAGATTAGATCAACAATTGTTAGTGAACAATAATAATTAAATTCGATTGTCATCAGGCATTATGACGTTTAAGGAAATCATATATTTTCAACCAATATTGACATCTGATCTGATGTCTTACTAAAACAATAGAAAAATTGTGCTGAAAGGATACTATAAAGAAGGAGTTGGAGTTTAACAGTAATATACTGACGGCAAAATCCTACCTGAAAGCTTTTAAAAAAGGTATTTGTTTATAAGGGAGATATGAGCCGCTCAAAAGAAAACTCTATTCTTGAAACTACAATTCAACTTGGATGTGGCTAACGAAGTCCTGCATGATAGATTGGTGGGAGCATCTTAAGGGAAATTTTATACAACTTATCTTAGATCAGCTGTTTCTAAAATACCAATGATGTTTACTCAAAGAAAGGATAAGTTGTCGGAGTCGGACTCTTTGAGAAGTATCTACAACATTAGCTGTTGAGATAGCTACATTTGGATCACTACCAAGTAACTTAACCAACGAATGAGTTAATATCTCTTTATTTAGTTTGTAAAAGATCAGGTAAAACAATAAGCAATTCCAAATTGGCACATTTAGTCGTATGGTAAAAAAACCAAAACGTTTAAATCGATCTAACGTTTACCTTTGTCATTTCCAAATGTGCTTTGATCCGGTTTCTTATATACAGCAGAAGCTATAGGGATTTCAATCCTAGTAAATGTCTTCTCAGGAGATTTGTGTCACCTCTGTCCCTTCCTTGACCGGATATGTCTTAATGAAGGACTTTATTAATTTCTCAAATCAGGTATTTGCATGTCATTTTCCATCTTTTCCCATCTATATTCTTCATTATCTAATTATTTACATACTTTTTATTACTCGACTTAATAAGGCTATGTGATTATTATTTTAAAGTCTATTTATCCAAGTTTGAGCTAATTCCAACGTTGAACTGCTGATCGGAACTTTCATTGTTTTATTACTATTATCAATAAAATAGACCAACTTCTCACTGTCAATTTTTTTTATTTTTCACCCAATTACATTTAGTTGCATAATCTATTTCATAGTCATTATTGACTCATAAATTAGCCTAGTTTCATATTTTTCTATACCTGCATAAATATCAATGCATATCACAGTCTAACTGGAAACAATATTGTTCGCTGATGTATTGTTGTTAATTTAGATTTCCAAAGAGCTGGAAATGTTTCCAATCACTTGTGATCTATTGTTGTCGGATATACATATTTTATCAATTTAAATATCTTCTTTTTACTAAACATCAGTTCAGCAAGTGATACCATCTAGATAACTAATAGATAATTACTAGTTTTCATGGCATTAAGCATCTTTCCATCAATTTCGTAAACTTTTTTTATTGAATTAGAGATATTTATCCTCATGACTTGTTCTACCTTGATAATCTGTTACTCTTCTTATAACTGTCAACTAAATTTTGAAAATGTTACATCATCAATAAAATTGAAACCGTTTAATTCTAATTAATTCATGTAAAATAAATTGAGCTATCTTCATAAGTCTCTATTTTATATTTATCTGTTTTAAGGTTTTAACCACTCTAGTTCAGGTGTATACACGTTCATATAGGAATATTTATGAAAATAATAAATTATATAAATAAACAAACCATGTAAATTACAATATTCATTGATTTATAGTTGTTATGTCTTGTCGTTTGAATGCTACTTGTTATATCTGGTCCTCGCTGATTATTATGTTGGTAACGCTTATCACTTATACTCGGAACAAGGGACCTCCGCAATTCCCACGACGCGAAAATAAGAACACAAGGACTGGTATAAGTGAAGATTTATTAACCCCAAAACACAATTACGACGACCAGATATAACAAGTAGCATTCAAACAGCAAGATATAACAATTGGCGACGGGTGAAAAAAATTCTGAACCCTCAATTTTCAAAAAAAAAGAAGAGGAGGTGATATGCAGGAAAGAAAAGTCAAAATTTGATTTAATAATTATGAACTTTGTTCAACATTACTTCCGTTTTGATTAAATGTAATGTTGAATAAAACTCATAATGAGTAAATCAATCTAAAAGTGACTTGCCTTTCCATCATATCAATAATTATCTAGAATATTTAGATTTGATTGTAACTTCTTAAGTTAATTTTTTGCTAATTAGCAATAATCATTTTCATTTTCAAAAAAAGAAAAATACAAACAAAATAAACAAACAATTGATTGGTTACTATGGTATGACGACTCATCATCATATTTTTTTAATATTATCTTTTGTTGCTAACATTACTAAGAAACTTCATCTATAATGAACTAATATTTATCCATACAAATTATGTTTATTATTATTTCTTTTGTTACTAAACATGATTCAAACTAGATAAATATTTAATCAATATATTGATTTAGTGGAAAAAAGCATTTTAATTGACAGTTTTAATTAGTTTAAATTGAAATGAATTAATTTAAATAAAAACAAAATATACTACTTTTGATTAAGATAATTTCGTATTATTTTATGATTAATTTATAAACAAATTAATTTTAACTGATTGATAGTATTATGGAATTTAAGAAAAATCTATTGAGAATATGATTAATTCATTGGATCAAATTGAACAATTTATTGAACACTTACTTACTTACTTACTTACGCCTGTTACTCCTCGTGAACTAGCATAGGCCTCTCACCAGCATTCGCCATCCAATCCTGTCCTGGTCAATCATTTCCAGCACCTTCCAGTTGTTACTCATCCTTTTCATATCTGCTTCTATTTCCCGACGTAATGTGTTCTTTGGCCTTCATCTTTCCCGCTTTCCTTCAGGATTCTAAGTTAGGGCTTGCCTCGTGATGCTGTTTGATGATTTGCGGAATGTGTGTCCTATCCATTGAACAGGTTTTATAAAAAATTTATTGATTTATTAAAAATAAAGAAAAGAAGAATGAAGATTTTTTAGTAAAGAAGGTTTTTTTCTTTGTTAGGGACGTTAGATCCCCAAAACTCATATTTTGTAATTTTATTTATCAAGCTTATATGCAGATGTATGCTTGGGCATTTCTTATCACCCACGCACACAGTCGATTGACGAACTTATCGATTAAATGTTTAAAAACTTCCATGGCAATATCGATTATATATACTTGTATAAATACGCTTGATTTGTTTGCTTGAGGAACCTGGTATCTTCTGGTTGTCTGTAGAATACACAT